GGTCCCTTCCAACCTTCTATGATTCTAGTTGGCATTTTCATTTGAGAAACTATTTGCGTATTTTACCCAGTTCTGGTCCATACTAGATTCAGATCAATAAACAGTTATTTCAGTTGGGCTCACCCTGGGAATGGGACAACCAACCAGAACATCACACACTAATTTCTGTGCCCTGTGGAAAAAGACCCTGGCTACGCTCCTTATCAACCAGTGCCTTTAGTTTCTTTTTCAGTATGGGGTTTTGGTACTTTGCCAGCATCAGTGGGGTTTTGATTACAATATGTTATGAAAATAAATGCAAATCAAGATGGGTGGACCATGATAGTGCACAAGTTTGCTGGCTGTGTGCTAAGAAAAGAAACAAGATGCACAGGTCCACAGGTCTCCCCCTTAACAGTGACTGTACCTTTAACTTCTGTATGGAGAAATAGCAACTGAAAACCTTGTCAGACAGACTCATAGGTGGAGTGCTAAGCCACCATAAAAAGGATTGAAGTGTCTCATCACCTGTAGTATTGATTTTTCAAATTGCTGGCACCAACTTCAGCACCAAAAGGCCACTGTAATTTGAATCTTGCTTTCAAAATGAATTTAATAAAGTGCTTTGTGGCATAGTTGCAGAGAAACTACACACATATACTCTGGACTAAGCCAATATAAAATGACTAAAAATGTAATCTGAAAATTAATATCACTGCAAGTAAAAATGGCATGATGACTAACTGCGGAGCTTTCAGGTGGCTTTACGTTGGAGCTATCAATGTTTAGAGACATATGCAACACGCAGAAGTGAATAGCTGCAACTTTAGCTCTGAGGATCCCCTGCCATAACTTGTCAAAGAGCAGCTCAAATTAAACCAACTGAACAGCCCGCTCCCACCTTTTGCAAGCAGCTGACAAAAATTTGGACCTTGCAGCAAGCTGTAAAGTACAGCAAAGAAACCAGTCTGATTTCAGTGTGTGCAAGAGATAACTATAGAAGACAGTTTACCAGAGATGTTTCTCCCCCTCCCCCCATTCCATCAGATGGGAACAACTACCATCTCTGCTGTTGGCAGTCATCAACTGAAGGCTCAGAAAGGAGATGGTCTCTCAGTCAGAAAAGAAGGGTTCCTCCTCGTCTTAATTAATTAGAAAATTAGGTAGGAGGGGTTCCAGTTCTAGCAGGGTTTGAAATCTCAAAAAGGAATTAAAGAGACATAACCACCTTAGAAAGTTAGGACTAGATTGAAATCAACAGAATGAGCCTATTTGTATTTACTTTGAAATGAAAATATCAGGGTTGACCTCATTACCTGTAAGCACACAGAACAATGTAAAAACACTTAGTTTCTTCTGTCTTCAGACTAATATATAGTAGGCCCAGGCCACTGCAGGGCACACATTATTAATCAGAGCCCTTATTTTGCTAATCCGAGTTATGCTGTTTTAAAAGGGTCTGGAAGGTGGCCTGCTTCCAGTTGCCCTCTTCCATCTTTTTGATTCAATGATAGGCAATGAATAGAATCCGTTGGCCTTCAATCAAAAGTCAGTAAAAGTTGGCATCCTTACACTTAAAGGAAAATGACCCCTGATTTAATGGCAAGAGTTGGACAGCAACTAAGACCCTTCCTTTTACAGTTCAGAATTATAATCCACAAAAACGTAAGTTACTTCCACGCAAAATGGAAGCTATTGACCACAGTGATGTTTATTTGACCTGGATTCAGTGGCATGTAATAAATACAGCTAAGGTCGAGCTATATGCCTTTATTTAGACTTCCAAATAAAGTGGCAACAATTTTCATATAAACCCAGCCTCAATTAATAGACGCACTTCTTAAATCAGGATAGGTAATCATCAGCTTCTCTCCTCCTCAAAATCGGAACAGCTTGTAACTTGCCAACATTTTATTTCATCTTACTCAAGTTACCAACTCACCGTTTCTTCCTCCTTGCTAAGCATTTTGGCACAGGAAAGGAAATCTTCGTATTTTGCGTATGGTATGACTGGCTCTGGGAGTTCCCTCAGGTACAGCTTAAGCAGTGATGCCACTGTATGCACATCTGTATTGCTGTTAGATTGGAATACAAGAAGTTGTTACTGGGAATCAGGATATTACTGTGAGACTGACAGGCTAAAAACTGCCACTTAACTTTTCCATTGTCACCCCAGATTTTACTCACCAGCAGTATATACATTTATAGATCATATCTGTAATCTGTTTTTTTGGGGAAGGGTTTTGTCCTATAAAGAACTTGGGATACCTGCAAGCAAGACTGTCAACTCTGATGATTTATTACTATAAATAATTACACATAAGGCCCTATTCGCAGGCGAAGGTATTGAGAAGATCCTGGCTCTCATTACAGGCATGTCACATCAGGCATGCATAATCCATTTTGACTGATGCCTTTCATCTTCACCTGAGCCAGGAACCAGGCATTTTATTTACACAGTGGGGATTATTCTCCTACCAGAGATGGCCCCAGCTCCCAAAACATGCCCAGCATGTCTCAATTCCACTGTATCACCATCTCCTCTGGTATTAGTATTAAGTAAGCAAGTTTTAAACGAGAACATATCTACCACAGGTGTTTAGTTGAAACTTCCCCACCTGAATTACAATTCTTTTCCCTGAATGCACCTTTTTCCTATGGGCTCCCACAGAATGATCACTGTGCCTTTTAGCTGTACTGTTACACCAAAAACCCAGACAGTGTTTACACACAAAACCGTAAATCCATGGGAAACGAGTTCTATCTCCATCCTGTACTGAGTAAGCTAAGGCACTGCCAGTCACCAAACTTAGAAAATGTCTGAGTGCTAGCACAACAGGTAACATTATAGGGCTGAAAGTCAAAGACCTGGTATGACATATGATTTCTCATAACTACAATTGCAGAAAATTAAGGCTTTTTCGGACACAGCTAGTAGGACCCCCCTAGGCTGTTTATCAGGCATACTAAAAGTAAGAAGATGGAGAGAAATATCAAAATCACAAGTTCAGAGTATGTAATAAAACTTGCTTAAATGCTTCTGTTGTGTGTAAAGTTACATTGTGGTAACTTAGGAGTACTTCTCTGAAAATAAATAAATAGAAATAGATCAAAACTACAAGTTAGCATGAAGAAACCTCTCTTGCGTTACTTCTGGCTCCACCTCTGGGTTTAGCTACTCAGGCACTTATTCAGATCCTTACTGAAATGTTCTACATGCTTTCCCTGGTTCAGATAAGGAGTTGTACTGCAAGCTGATATCTTTCCCTCTGACTTCTGAAAAATAAAAAAACCAAATACTAAATTATGCTAATTTCATTCATAAGAAACAGAAAATGCACAGACATATCTACAATGTGCATTATTGTGTATTTTCTTTTTCTTTGAAGACTTCACACTTGGAACATTTTTTTAAACTCACAGTCTCTCAAAGGCAACCACTGGTATGTGACGCACTTAAGCTGCGCTGGAGTTATGTTAATCATTATTTTGGAATGATCTGTTAATACAATAATGGCTTTTACTACGTTAAATCTTAACAAGAATGATGGGAACAACCTGAGATTAATGTGGTATGGTATTAGCAATCTAAGTCAAAACAGAAGGAGAGAAATGATAAAGCACTGTGTATATTTAAATGTTAACTAGCACCACCCTCCTTCTAATAAATTCCCAGCAAACATTTTTATTTCAATTAATAATTCTCAGCCAAAATTCCAGAAAACATTTTCTAGAGAAACTCTATAAACAAAGCACTAATGCAAATCCGCTTTTTTAAGGAAGGTTCAAATTCTAATCTCTTGATTGCAACCCTCTACTTGTAGACTGGCTTGGATCCGAAACAGGAATCCTGTGTTTACCCTGCCCCACCCCTCAGATGCATATATAACATCATATGTAAGGAACAGTACTGCTATACATGACTCTAGATATAGTACTATTTTATGAGATTTCAAATGCTAGCAGAGATTTGGCCTCTAACCTTTGCCTTCTACCTATCCCCAATCCAGACACAAACTAAGTGAACTGAAGGTCTTCTTGACATCCTGGCTAACAAAATTCTTTATGGACAGCACAACCTGAGGGTTGAAAACCCAGACCCCAGGTAATCTCTCAGCTAGTTGCTTACAACATCTTGTTGCCATTGGTGTTAGTTTTTAGACAGCAGTCATGGCGTACGTGCCCAGACAGTTCTTATCCAAGAAGCAAATTTTACAGAGAGATCTTCAGTTTCCTAAGTTGTTGGTCCATTAGGAAAGCAAAAAGCAAATCCAGACGGAAAGATTTTTGATAGTCAGACTCTGAAGGAAAGCAGCAGCCACAGACGTGAACTGGCAGGCTTAGGACAGTGCCCTACATTGCAGCATGAAAGGAAGCACAGGCCATCAGTCTGCAGAGAATTTTACCTGATTGCTCAGCATTGATGGTCCTTCTGAAAATTTTATTATTACTATTTTTATTATTTAAACAAGGAAACTCCCCAGGCCTTGCTGAAGAACTGAACCACATCTTTCCAGAGACTATCTCCATAAAACTTGAGAGGCCTTTCCAAAATACAAGATTCAAACAGGTTGAGTGAGAGAAATTACTGAAGAACAATTAAAAGTTAGCACACAGGTTTCCTAGTGAGGGGATTAAACAATATCATCTTCTCTTCTTTGTACTGCCAGGATCATGCTTCATGTACATGCTTAGTACATAAGAATAATTTTACATCAGTCCCTTGGTGTGAAGTGGGATTCTTGCATGTTGAGGGCACAGCAGATGGAGGATAAAAAGGCTGAAGAAGGGGACAAAAGCCCTGAAAACTGATGGAATTTATAAGCTTTCTCCTTTCAATGTGAAGTTCTCATAGACTATCACTGTGAAGGGTTAGTTGAGTGCTAAAAACTCTGCCTCTACCAAGGAATAGCTGAGAGAAACAGGAACGTAGGATGCCAAGGAGCAAGGAAACAATCAGAAGTCTTGTGTTCTTAAACTAACCTCCTGAAGTACATGGTGTATACGAGTCTACAGAAAGGTGCTTTCTGAGGTAGGGTTAGAAACCCAGGTCCCAATCAGCAGACAGGGACATAGTAGCAATTTTTAAAAGTGATATTTTTTCTTCATTTGCTTCTGCTGACTGCAGGCTAAAGCAATACCGCAGACTGCCACAAGATGGTGGGATTGTAAAATAATATTTTGGAAAATTTATTTTGTCGCTTTTTTTCCCCTAAACTGTACTGGAACACTGCTTAGGACTTAATCTATGTACACAGAAATTACCATACAGATTTCGGTAGCATAAACAAACATGCATACATACATACCCCTACTGCCTGAAAAGCTCTTTAATAATTGGAATTCTTAATTCTATTTAGCAGCAGTTACATAAAAGCTAGAAACTTTATTCTTTCAATGTAAATATTGGTATAAAAATATGTCAATATTTTTATAATAAAGTAACTAAGAGTATTTCATATAATCAGATCTGTTTAGACCTTGCAGTCTAGAATTTTTTTTTCACCTTTTGTTTTAAAACACAGAGGAAAACTTAAAAATGGCAGACTTCAGTTTTAATCCGTCTGTATTTTAGGTGCTTCAATACACAAATACCATTAAATGCATTTCAGCCACAGAAGACAGCTGTGAGTTTCAAAGGAGTGCTGAACTGCAAGCTCTCTTGAGGATTGTGAGCATTTATTTCCCTTTCCGGTCTGCAGTGTTCTATCCACAGTCTAAGTCAACCAACAGCATCTATATATTTGCCTTGAGGGCATTTGTGTCATTTGTAAGATGTGGATCTTTCCAGGGCCTGTGGAAGAACTTTTGTTCCTGGACTTTTTCCAGTTACAACTGATCAGTTTAAGACAAAGCAGTATTTCTCCCTTCAAACGTGGCCTTGCTTATATTCTAGGACCATTACAGCTACAGAAACTTAATGATTATACTTATCTTCGTATTTTTTTTGCTATGTGACAGTGTAATATCAAAGTGTTCCATGATTACACATTCATAATTAACATGGTTAAAAGTATTCATTAACAAGTATTAAAATAGAGTATGTAAATTCTAGAAGAAAATCCTCTGTTATCTAAATTGGAACAACCCTCATTAATCCAGGCGGACTTTCTCCAAGTACACAATGAATATTTACAAGCTTGAAATGGGAATGACAAAGCACAAAGCAGAAAATTGAATACAACACAAAAAGCATCAGTAAGCTGAGAAATGGTCTGTTTCAGTGTGTGGTGCTGGAAAGTCTGAGAAAGATTACTTACCTCACTAAAACATATTTACTGCTTTACTGTTGATGTTTCCATGGGAGCATTCCCCACTCCACCACTGTCCATGCAAAGTCATTACAAATGCAAACGCACTACAGCATCTACTTAGTCATCAGACTACACATATTCAAAGCCCCATTCATCTGAACTTTGTCATTAATATCCCTCATGGCATTGCTGTTTTGACAGCACTTTCCTTTGTGATACCACAGAAACTGTGGAAGTGGCTGTCAGACTGATTACACCGCCTGGAGTTTTTCACCCTCTCTACCATAAACAAAAATTACTGAAGCCCAGCAGGTCACCAGAAATCCACCCATAACCCTTGCACTCAGACAAGCAGACAGCATCTTCAGAGAGCTGGAGCCAGCGCTTCACAGCACAAAGCCAACAAGCTCCTCATAAACTTTCAGAGAGGAAATATTAACAGGGCAAGGTCACAGTACGAAAAGATTATGCTGTGCCAAAAATAGCTCTAGATCATGATGACACATAAACAGTTTGCATAAAGAACAAACAGTAGGGAACAACAAGCTGTGAGGCTATAATTCAATTTAGGAGTTTTGGTAATAAAACGAAGAACAGTACAGTTCAAACAGTTTGTCTATCAGTATCTAGAATTACTAGAATTACAGCTCCATCATTTCAGATGTGTCACAGATCACAATCCTAGAAACAGAGAGTCTCCCTCACCAACATATCCTGTACGCATCACAACATTTGCTGACTGTGTCCCCGCTTAGCGGCATTCAGGTCCATAGAGCAGCTCTCAGATCAGTATGGATGTTTTCCTGACACGGGAGGATGAG